TGCTACTGCTATTGCTGCTGCTGCTACTGCTGCTGCTACTGCTACTGCTACTGCTACTGCTACTGCTACTGCCACTGCTGCTGCTGCTGCTGCTGCTTTTGCTGCTGCTGCTGCTTTTGCTGCTGCTGCTGCTGCTGCTACTGCTGCGACTGCGACTGCTACTGCGACTGCTACTGCGACTACTACTACTACTACTACTACTACTACTACCACCACCACTACCACTGCCACTACCACTACCACTAGTAGTCTTGCCAACATTAGCAACACAACACAGCACATTCCAGCGCATAATATGTTGACCCTAAACCTTAAACCCTAACCCCTAGAGCCGCTTAAAGCCTAAACCCTAAACCCTAGTTGACTGGAACTGGCCGTCCAGTTTACGCGCGGCAGGGGGCACTTTTCCTTGGTCGAGCTGGCATGGAGATCAGTGGTGCCAAAGAGTGCGGTGTCTGCAAGTTATTATGAAGCTTGGGCTGCGCCGTTCTATCGGATGCATAATATCTCATTATATATACATATATAGATATATACATGTATATATATATATACATATGCAGTATGTATATATATATATATATATATATATATATACAATATGTGTATATATATATATATTAATAAGTTGCCTGTCAGTTTTTGCTGGGCGGAGCAAGTGCACACAAGAGGACTCGCGGTTCCTGCTTGTCACTTCTAGTTGAGTCTGCTCCGAACATCGCTGAATGCTCAGGAGCAGTTCAGGGTCGTGGCAGGTTTGTTGCAATCAATATCTGGATAGGCAGTAACATAGCGTAATATATCACGATAGAATAGTGTATGACATGTTCGCATGAAGCCGTTATACAATTTCATAGCATAATACAGTATGCTATAGTACAACAGCTTATCGCACAGTTTGGTATAGTATGATAGATTGTGAAAATATGATTTTATGCCAGAAGCCTAAACCATCTATCATGGATATATAAGTTGTACAATGTAGTAGCATTAAGGGTTGAAGAGGCCAGGCTCAGCCATGGGAAAGAGAGGGTTTTCTTGTAGCCTTTCATGGCTTCAAACCCTAAGCCCTAAACCCTAAGCCCTAAGCCCTGAGCCCTAAACCCTAAACCCTAAGCCCTAAGCCCTAAACCCGACCCAACGCCCCTGAAAGTGTCCCAGGCATTGTGAGAACGATTTCGACGAGGTGGAGAAGCTACGGTGCTCCTCTGAAGAGCCCCATCCCACCTTGGTGTTTAGGGGTTGGGGTAAGGGTTTACGGGTTCAGGGTTTAGGGTTTAGGGTTTAGGGTTCCGGGTTTAGGGGTTTAGGGTTGAGGGGTTAGGGGTTTAGGGTTTAGGGTTTAGGGGTTTGGGGTTTAGGGGTTTAGGTGTTTAAGGGTTTAGGTTTAGGGTTCTTCATCGCCCCTTCGTCGGTTTGCTTTCACTCGGTTTTTTGTGCACTCCTAGCTGTTCAGACCAAGGGGCCGAAACCCTCCCTAAACCCTAAACCCTAAACCCTAAACCCTAAACCCTAAACCCTAAACCCCTACCTAACCCTAAACCCTAAACTGGGGAGGGTTTCGGTTCTGGGGGCGAGGCTTTAGGGTAAAGTTGAGG